TGCAGAGCACAGAAGGCCTGGGTGAAGGGTGGCATCCGGACCAGGTAGGAGGCCACGATGATGGCTGAGGAGTAGTGGGTGTAGTAGTGGCACTGGACGGTCATGTCTCCTGCAACAAAAACATATGCTTGAGGGCGGCTTCCCTACCTGTGCCCACGCGTGGCAGATAGGCGTGCTACACTGTGTTCATGAACAGTGTTAAAAACATACATTCATTGACGTTTAGGAAGTGAACAGACCTAAAGAAAAACATTCAGGCAATAAGGTCACAGGTGGCACGTGAATGTGGCAAAATGTCTAAAGATGACATGTAGATGGACAAACTTTGGGAACTAGAGTCACACGAATGCAGGCTCTGCCGTTTAGAGGCTGTGATCTTGAGCAAGTTGCTTAAACTCTCTAAGTTTCATTTTCCTTCTCTGTGAAATGGACTACTGTAATATATGAACACAGGTTGACCTGCCCCTGGCAGAGAGAAAGTGCTGAATAAATGTTAGTTTCTTTTGCCATTGCCTGTCCCCAGGCATGGAGTCATTACCTCTTAGCATTATATTTCTCCAGCCAGGTTGCATGTTAGAATCCCCTGGGCTGTGCCACACCAAATTTCTAGAGGTGAGGCCTGGACATCAGTATTTTCTAGAAGCTCCCCAGGCACTTCCTACCACCAGGTTAGAGTCCTCTGTTCAAATGCAATCACTTGTAGGCTAGGTGACCACCTTAATTGTTGTCAACTATCATTTCAGGGCATCCAGAAGAATAACACTGCACAAAAAATCAAGCTGGATCTACTCACCTTCAGTTTTCTCAACTTCTTTAAACCTCTGGATAAATTTCAGCTTCCTTTCCTTGGTCTGAGCCCCCATGGGCTTTGAAAGATCCCGGAAAGTCTTCGGATTCGCCAAGTTCAATGTCTAGAAGGCAGATGTGCAGCTGGAGTTAACTCCCCGGACCCGCTTGTGCCCTAGGAATCATGCTCTTGAGTTTTATGGTTCTCTTTATTGGTTTACTGTCATTTGGTCTGACCTGCCTCTGCTGGTTAGTTGGCAGGCTGGGGTTTTATGGCCCCAGAGCCAGTGATCCACAAAGACTTAAAAAGGGAGAGATGAAAAATAAGAGGAGGGGAAGATTGAGTTCACACTCAACCTGTTCCAAGTTGACCCAAATCAGAACATGGCCTCCAGTTACTGAAAAGATACTTTTAAAAGAATTTGTGTTATCGATGAGGCACTTGGCTCCTAAACTGCATTATGTACTCCAATAGTTCAGGGTCCTTGCTTAGAATCAAACTGATTTTACAGGAAATTAGAAGTCATCTGTTCAGGGAGGAAATGAGAGGGACTTGCTCATTTTTCCTGGAGGTCTACTCCTTTCTTGGCAGTGAAAGCATGCTGTGAGCTCCCCTTCCCTCTCTTGGAATACACCACAGAGAAAACAGTACCAGTTTCAGGGCCACGTGCTCTGGGAAACTTTTTCTTTTGATGTTCTGCATGTTAGGAGAGGAGCCAAGAATTGCTGGGATTTGCATTTCTTTATAGGGGGAGGTACCTGTGTATCTCTCTTTTCTTTTTTCTGAGACAGGGTTTCACTGTTGCTCAGGCTGATGTGGAGTGGAGTGGTCATGGCTCACTGCAGCCTCGACTTCCTGAGCTCAAGTGATCCTCCCACCTCCCAAGTATCTGGGACTACAGGTGCGTGCCATCATGCTTCACTAATTTTTGTATTTTTGATAGAGATGGGGTCTCACTATGTTGGCCAGGCTGGTCTTGAACTCCTGGACTCAAGCAATCCTCCTGCTTTGGCCTCCCAAAGTGTCAGGATTACAGGCATAAGCCACTGTGCCTGGCTCATAACCCTTTCTTTCCACTAGCAGTGAATCCTCAATGTTCCACTGGGGGCCAAGGGTGTCACTATCTCAAATGCCTGCAAAAGCCAGGGGGAAGCAGGGCCAAGAGTGAAACGGCCCCTCTTAAGATCCCAGTGAGTGCTGGAGGGGACACACGGAGACCCACACTCAGCTTTCACAATCTTGCCAGTTCAGAAAAATTCCTAGTTGCCAGATCTCATGGTTTTCCAAAAGATATTGGAAATCAGATTTTTTTAAAGGAGAAATCTCTTCATTTTTAAGTTGATAAATAATAAAGATTTTAAATACCTAGTATGACCTAAACAAAAAAGACTTGCAAACTACCACTTTGCAACATGTGAGTAGGTTTTGTGTTTGAAATGCCTCAGCCTCCGATGGACCATTAGTGCAATAAGCAGCAGCCAGTGCTAGTGAGAAATGTTTTGCTGCATTAAATGTCTTAAGAGGGGACGAGAGGTCACCAAGGACTGAGTCTCCCTCTCCCAAATCCTGAGGGTCTGCCATCCAAGCAGCCCTAGGCAGGACTGGCCAGGCTCATCTGAACAAGTGGCTCAGCCACCTTATGTGCTTTACATACAGTCCAGCACCTCTCCAGATGGCCAGAGCCCAGGTGGCCAGGACACTGCTCCATAGCTTGGTTATCCCCATAGGAGCACAGACATCACATCACCCTGGTCCAGCTGTGGAGTTTTTCTCCCCATCCTTTCCCTGCCTGATGGGGCACAGGGGTGGAGGCTAAAAGAGATGAAGGATCTGTTCTTGTCATCTCACCATCAGCCTCCCCTGTCACTACACATCTCAGTCCAGATACCAGATGAGGCCCAGACACCATCGTCTCTGTTGCTGAACTCAAGTTCCAGGAAGAGTAGCTTATCCTTTCTGTGTGTCTGTATCCCTGTGTCTCTCTCTCCTTTCCTCCCCAGACCCCTCTCCTGCACACGTTGATTTTAGGAACAAATTCCATGGCCCACCTCGCTTGTGACTGCCTCTCCCCACAAGGGCTGACCCATGGCACCATCTTGGTAGATGGCATCAGGTGCCTTCACTGCAGAGAGTAAGCCAGGAGGCCCCCTGGGGCTCGTGTTAGCAACTATGCTAGTTGTGTTGATCATTCCACAGGGGGAACCAGGACAGGAACCCAGGCAGCCAAATACCAAAGGCCACGATGAGTTTAAGAGATCTAAGGCCGGGTGCAGTGGCTTATGCCTGTAATCCCAGCACTTTGGAGGCTGAGGTAGTAGAATCATTTGAGGTCAGGAGTTCGAGACCAGCCTGGACAACATGGTGAAACTCCATCTCTACTAAAAATACAAAAAAAAAAAAATTAGCCAGTTATGGTGGTGCACACCTGTAATCCCAGCTACTTGGGAGGCTGAGGCAGGAGAATCGTTTGAACCCAGGAGGAAGAAGTTGCAGTGAGCAGAGATTGCGCCACTGCACTCCAGCCTGGGTGATGGAGTGAGACTCCATCTCAAAAAAAAAAAAAAAAAAAGAGATCTGAACTTCAGCAGCCGTTAGGCCCAGGTACCCAGGTTCATATGACAGAAGCTCCTAGCAAAGGCTCTGCATACTGACTTAGGGTCTCTGTTATCAAGGTCTGAATGCCTCAGGGCAGCTGTGGGTTCCACATGAGGACCTTACCTCTGAGGTGTAGTCTGCGAGGACCCAAGGGAACACTGGGTATTGCATGTAGTCATTGCAGGTTCTCCCAGCCACGGTGTTGAGGTACATGAGATACTCAAAATTGCTGATGTCCCTTTTCTACCAGAAGAGACGGAAAGGGGATAAACCAAACACATTTGATGCTCCCGCAAGGCCAGGGGTCCCACCCTCAGGCCTCATCAGCAGGCCCTGGCTCTGTGAGTGAGGACAGGCAGCCAGCCCCTCGGTCACTTTGTGCACATCTCATGCATGAACCAGCACCAACTCAGGGACCCACACACAAATTTCAGTATGAACAGAGGCAAGTATATTCAGGAAGCAAAGTCAGCAAGGAAAAAAAACCCAATGCAGTTCAGCATCCAACGCCAAGGATAAGACATGCTTTGGTGTTAACGGTTGGATGCAGTACTCAGAAGTTGACTAAAATCATAGCACAAATGCTGGGGGTGAACTGACTGCTGACCTACTGATGGTTAGAAAATAAGCAGAGGGGTCATGGCAGTCCCAGAGACAGAGGCCCTCACTCCTGGGCTTGATGGTCTGGCTTCCTCTGGGACTTTGGGAACTGCCTATTCCCTGTCCCTGCCTGTTGGGGTGATGCTCACTCTTAAGGGCCCTCTGCCTCCAGATGAACAGTCGCAAATGGAAACAGGGTCCGTATTGGGAATAAAATCCACCAAGGCCGCTGAATGAGTGAGCAATCCAACATAGTCATCATCTCTGATGTGGGGCCTGTATGCTCAGGGGCTCTCCCTTCCTCAGTCTGCCCCTTGGGAGAGGATTTTGGACCTGAGTGACTAAGACCTACTTTCTCATTGTCCCCCAATCTCTACAACTGCCTCTCTTAGGGTCTCTTCCTTTCTTTGAGATCCCTGGGCTGAATGTCAACTTGTCCAGGCTGGGAGCCACATGTGTCTTCCAGGAACAAGAATTGACACCCATGCCCCGGCCCCTATGTGGCTGTATGCATGTGTATCTTCACAAATGGGGTGTGTGTACCCACTGGGAGGCATCCACAGTGTACAGGTATGTGCGCGCGCACACACATGCACGTGCATTCCCCAGCTCTGACTCCAATGTGCAAGATTTGTCCTCCATCACCGAGATTTGGTCAGGGAAATATCTGAGACATTTTGGTAAATTAGAAAAATAAGATCCCGGCCAGGCACGGTAGCTCACGCCTGTAATCCCAGCACTTTGGGTGGCTGAGGCAGGTGGATCACCTGAGGTCAGGAGTTCAAGACCAGCCTGGCCAACATGGTAAAACCCTGTCTCTAATAAAAATACAAAAATGTACTGGGCCTGGTGGCAGGTGCCTGTAATCCCAGCTACTTGGGAGGCTGAGGCAGGAGAATCACCTGAACCGAGGAGACAGAGGTTGTCGTGAGCTGAGATCACGCCACTGCCCTCCAGCTTGGGCAACAAGAGTGAAACTCCATCTCAAAAAAAAAAAATAAATAAATAATAAATAATAAGATCCCTTCTTGGTTGATCCACACACTTCCTCTCCATCGCTGGGGCCTGGGCCATTCTCTGGTTTGCATTCCCAGAGGGCTTCCCTCTGGAGGAGCCACTGTACCTGCCACTTCTGCAGCATGGTCCTGTCAGAGCCGGGGTATCTCCTGTGGGACAGAAAACCATGGTGGTGACCAAATATACCAAGGTTAGAACACAAACAGGGGAGAGGTGGGGCTTGCCTGGGCTTCGTGGGGCCAGGGTGTTGAGGAAAGCTGCAGACTTCCACATCCCACAGCGGCTCTCAGCGGGCAGTACAGGGAGACTGTCGTTCAGCTCTTCCTGGCCCACCCCGGCCTGCTGAAGGTTAGATTCTTGCAGTCAGTGTCCCTCTGCTGTGATACCAGAACAAGCTGCTGCCTCAAGAATTCCAGGGGACATGCAGCCTCAGGCTTGGGGGCCTCCTTCACAACCCACACGGAATTCCCCTGCCACATCTTGGCCTTCTTTGTCCCTGCCCTGACCCCCTCTTTTGCTTGTGGATAAAATGTAAACAACACGGAAGGCCATGAGATATGACCTAAGAGTCTCCCAAGAAGTGTCCACAGTCACCAGTTTCTAGTGTATGTTCCAGAAAATGTTTTACCCATATGCCTGCCTATATGCCTACATAGCTTTTTTTTGTTTGTTTCTAAAAAGCTTCAGTCATACATGGGGTCACATCATACACCCGGTTCTCCACCCAGCCTCCCTTGTGCTGCAGCAGCCCTGGAGATCGGCTCACACTGCCCTTTCGCATTCATCTCTGTAGTCTCAGGGCAGTTTTGCACAGCTGGATCCTAACTGATTCACCGTCCCCGTGACAGGCTTTGTTCTCACAACTGACATTTCCAGGAGCACCTTTTGGCACATGTCTCTGGGTACTTTTGTGAGTGTATCCACGAGAGGTTTCTAGCTGTGGTGCCACTAGGTTAAAAAGTGTGAGTATTTACCATTTTGCTACCTATGGCCAAATGGTTCCTTTAAAAGACCATACTAATGTACATGGCTAAAATTAAGACTTACATACCAAACCAGTGAAGGCCCATTGTGGACTGCCCTGGTAGGAAAAAGGGTAACAAAAGGCAATATTGGGGAGGGTGTGGGAGGAGCCCTCCTCCTCCACCCCAAACGTCTCTTCTGTTGGGCAGGGATTATAGAGCCCGGCTCCTCAGCCTCCAGGGTGCCCCTCTGCTCCTTTTCCAGCCGTTTCTTCCCCAACTCCATGAGACTCTCCTCTACCCGAAGACTAGGTCTTTGCTCAAGATGCTCCACCACACCAAGCCAAATCATATCCCTTGGCTCCATCCATCTCCTCTGCCACAGTTCTATTCAGGTGCCCGCAGACATCTGAATGCCCACAGACCCAGTCCCCACATACGCTCTGCTCCACTTGCATGGTCTGTGTCAGGACCCTGCCGGGCTCAGTCTGGACAAGGCCTGGCTGCCCGTGTGTCCCAGAGGGACAGTGCCGCTTCACCTTCCCATCGCAGCCCCACTGTCACATCTTCTGTCCCGGGCTCTCCATCCCTCTGCATTCAATTCTTTATTTGGCAGATTTTCCATAAGCAGAAAGTAACCCCCAGGCTGGGATTTACCTCTTCATCCCTAATAGAGGAGTCATCTATTTGGGCCATGTATCCAGGCAAGCAACACCCAACAATAAGCAGAGGCAAAACGTGCTCCAATGTACTGCTTTAGCTTGCAAAGCATCAAGTGAAGATTTGGTTCTCCTGTTGTGTCTGTGACTCTGCCACCCACCCAGTTCTGGAGGGGTAGGCTGCTCTTAAGGCTATAGGCAAGGGCAGAGCCCAAGCTGGAGACAGTGAGGGTCATCGCCTTGAAAAGGACCTGTGCTGAGCCCTCCAGAGCCATGAGCATGTGGAGTTGGCATGCCACAGCCTGCTGATCTAGCTACTCTGTTTTATAAGTTGACAGGGGAGTGAGGACAGAGGAGTGAAAGCAGGGGAGCTAAATGTGTCTGTTAGGATCCAGGAAATGAGATTCAGTTTCCGCTCTCCTCCCTTTCAGACAGGGTTCTAGAATTTTGCCTGTGGTCATTTGTGATGTTACTATCAGGTGGAATGGTATACAGAAGAAAAAGGCATTTCACCATCCCACTCCTCATTTCATTGGCTATCAGCTCCAAGGAAGTTCCATTATTTCTGGTACCGTCAGAGAAAGACGCCATTACCAGCAGCTCCAGGACACCTAACCAAAGGTGAGTTCTATTTTTTTAAAATATTGTTTTAAAATCATATTAATCTGAAGGCGATTACAGAACTCTCAAAATGATCTATGTGAATTTTATTGGTAACTGGCGATTAGTTGAAAGTATTGCTTTAAGAGTTAATAAACTGCATCGTCCATCATCCATCATTATCATGTAAGTTTTAGATTAAACAAGATGTTGCAAATGGCTCTTGGCTTTCTAATGTGCTCTTGAGATCTGTGGGAGGCAGCCTGAGAAAGAGCTCTGGCTGTGAAGTCAGGGATACCTGGATCTAAATTCTACCTCCACCACTTAAATGGGGGGCCCCGAGCAAGACAGCAAGCCTCTCTGATCTGCCATATCATCCTTGCAACACACTGGCCACACTGGTCACACAGGGGCATGGGAGAGCCAGTGAGACCATGGGTCTGGAGAAGGCTAGCATTGGTGTGGGCACGGAGCTGCTCAACAAGCATGGTCCTGGCTATGCTGACATTGTTCCGGAGCAGGGGAGATTCTTTTCTACTCTGGGAGGAAGGAGAGTGTGGTGGCAGAGTGGGGCCTGCTTCTGGTCAAGACCTGGTTGGTTCTGCCAGTCCCGCTCTGGGTGACCTTAGGATTGTGCGACCTGGGAACCTGTGCACCTGCTCGTTCAGCCCAGCAAACACAATCCTCGGGGTTTGCTGGGGGCCTGCACTGAGCTTCAGGACAAGACTGGGGCCTGTGGGCAACTTGGGGTGGAGCAGAGAAGAACCGAAGAACTCGAACGAAGCCAGTGAGGATTGTGGCGGTTACCCGGCCTGGCCTTATTGGGTTTAGCACGGGCGGACATACAGAGGACATCACATCAACCCCTTTATTCCCTTCCCGCCCAGGACAGGTGTCCACCTCTACTGGATAACTTCAAAGATGGAAAGATTATCTCTGAATCAGGACATCGTGGGTAGTTCAAGTTCTTCCTTATTTCCAGGGGTCATTTACACCCATCCTGCTTCATTTTTAACCAAATCTCTGTCCTTTACCCCCTAGAGGAGTTTCAGAAGCTTGAGCACTAATGCCAGGTGGCCTAGGGCCTTCCCTACCCCATGCTGCACAGCATCAGTACCTTGAGTTGCCTCATAGTCCTGCTTTGACTCTTCTCCCTTGGGCCAGCTCCACCCTACCCTGAAACCAGGTCCCCAGAGCAGGTGGCAGAGAGGAGAGAGCCAGACGCACGTTCCAAGAGCTCATCCTCCATCGGGGGCTGGCAGAACAGCCTGCGGCTGGGCCTCCGGATATGGTGGGTTAGCCCCCAGACCAAAGGCTCTCAGCCGAGGGACTCATCTGGCTAAAGGCTGCGCCCTCTCAGCCCTGGAAGGAGACTGGGGTCTTTGCCCATCCTCTTCTTCACCTGGCACTGGGAGGCTAGGTGTAGCCCTAACATGGCAGACATCTACGGAGGGCCTGTAGGTTAACCTGGGCCCCCGAGCTAATGCAGACACATCTCAAAATCCTGCTGCCTCTCCAAATTATCCCATGTGTTGCCTATTTGCAAAAACAGTTTTGAGGACATGGTAAAATGGGTTAGTGAGTGACTGAGGGATTTGATTCTTGAGTTAAGAAGCACTAGGCATACACAAGCCACAATGAGAAGAAAAATCACTTATCTGGGCAAGCTGGAAACACAGGCCTGCTGAAGGGTATGGGCTATTTCTCAGGACAGGAGAAAATAGTCTTGCTTAGCCATTGCCAGGGGAGGCTCCCTGTGTAGGGAATGTGTGAGCTGGGGAGATGTTGGGGGCAGAGTGTGGCAGGGGCAGAGCTGTTCAGTGAGAAGCCAAACACACTCCCTCTCTCCCCATTTATTTCTCCTAAGAAGCAAATCTGTATCAACCTGGACTCTACTTTTCAGACCCAGGTAGGGCATTAGAAATCCATGCAGAGACAGATGTACCCTTTCAAACCAGAGACACCCTGCTGGACTAACAGCTCATTAAACCTCTCTGTCATAACTTCCTATCACTCTTCATTTCCCTAACATGTGGAAATTCTGCATACAGTTCTAGACCTAATAATAACACTTAATTGTTTAACCTGTTAAAAAGTGTGAAGACTTTTTGCCTATTGTCTAATTTCCACAAAGGCCCAACGAAGTTACCATGATTTCCATTAACAGACGAAGATATGGAGGTGTGGGGCAAGGAGGTGGTGTACAGGCCAGGGAGGTGTAAAATTCATTGTTGGTGTCTACCCTCGGCCTGGCACAGAGCAGCCGGCATAAACACTGATACACTGACTGTTCAGAGCACCTGCCAGGATCAGACCTTGCTCCAGGGCCCTGACACGGAAGAAAACAAATGCAAACAAACAAAAATCTTCATCCTAGTGTATGAAAAGCCAGCTACCTGACAAACTAATCAGTGGCATATATTTGGCAGCATGACATTAAAAAATGAGCATTTGTAAATTGACCAGATTGTTATTGTACAACCATGCCATAATATGAGGCTGTATATACGTTAAAAATCTGAAAGTTGGCTGGGCACAGTGGCTCACGCTTGTAATCCCAGCACTTTGGGAGGCCGAGGTGGGCGGATCACCTGAGATCAGGAGTTCGAGACTAGCCTAGCCAACATGGCAAAACCCCGTCTCTACTAAAAATACAAATATTAGCCAGGCGTGGTGGTGGGCGCCTGTAATCCCAGCTACTCAAACCTGGGAAGTGGAGGTTGCAGTGAGTCAAGATCGTGCCACTGCATTCCAGCCTGGGTGTCAAGAGTGAGACTATGTCTCAAAAAAAAACCACAAAAAAACCTGAAATTTATATAATACAAAGTTACTGCCAGTTGCCAAAATTCCGAGTCCTTTTAATTTTCGTTTTGTTTTTTCTTTTTCTTTTTTTGAGATGGAGTCTCACTCTGTTGCCCAGGCTGGAGTGCAGTGGCGGGATTTCAGCTCACCGCAACTTCCGTCTCCTGGGTTCAAGTGATTCTCCTGCATCAGCTTCCCGAGTAACTGGGACTACAGGCGCGTGCCACCACGCACGACTAATGTTTTTGTATTTTTAGAGAGACGGGGTTTCACTGTGTTAGCCAGGATGGTCTCGATCTCTTGACCTCATGATCCACCCCCCTTGGCCTCCCAAAGTGCTGAAATTATAGGTATGAGCCACCACGCCCGGTCTGAGTGCTTTTAATTTTCATAAGGTTTTACGTACCTATATTTTAAAATGTATTTATCTTGTATATTTTCCTCTTTCAAATACTGATTTTATTCTTAGGTGCTTTATGATTTTTATATTATTTAATTTCAATTTTAAATTATGTATTATATATTCTAATTAGAAGTATACTAGGTAGTAGAATTTGAGGTAATTTTAAATTTTCTAGTCATCTTCATTCAGAAATTTATTTAAATCCATTTGCTGTCTAAATTAAATTATGTATTTTATTTTTTGGACTTAAAACATAATATGGTGATGGTTATGTATTCAAAAATGTTATAGTTAGCGTTCATTTAATGATCTGTTTTGTTTTCATTTCTAAATTGAAGTCATTTTATTTTGCTTTTTTTGTACTTTCCAAAATTTTTACTACTTCAATTTAATTTTGGATTCGAAATTACTTATTTCACTTATTTGCTAATTAATTTATTTTCTAATTTATGACTAGGTGGAAAAATTTAGAGCATTTTAATTTCTTATTTCTGCATATAAATTTTCTAATTTTTCTTCAATCCTTTATCATCTGCATAATAATTTTCATACTTAATTTGTTTTCCTCATTTTCTCAATTTCTGGAAATTTAATGTAACAACAACAACAAAAAATAACTGAAAAAAAAAAGACCATAGATGCATAAATAGATCATTGCAGCCTTATTCACGATAATGCCAGGCTGGAAACAGCAGGAAAAGCAAAGCACAAGGCTCACTGCTGTATGTTCATTCAGGATGCAGATTTCAGAATCTACACATCAGCATTTAATGACATACAATCAAGTGAGAAAATATGATTACAGGGCTGTATGATTTTATGAGTACTGTAGCTACTCTGATTTAACAGTGGAAAAAGGGTGCAAAGAGAAACAAAAAAGTAAGAAATAATTAAATTCAAATAAATAGATGAAAGACAGCCCTCTCAAAAACCAAATAGCAGAAAAAAAAAATACTTGCACAAATTCAAAGAAAGGGGAGTGATGTTTCATGAATGCTATTAAAGTGAAATATGTGTCTCTTTCAAGAGAAATGTGTGGCTTCTTCCCTGAGTAGCCACATCCGCCTGGCCGTTGCCATGGACAGGGGCTCTGCCTTGATCCTCTCCCACTGACTGCTGGGTGAACCGGAGGAAAAGCCCAACTGCAGGAATCACAGCGGGTGAGCCCTGGGGTTCCCTCCCTGTGGCAGGTAAGCCAGCCTGTTGGGAAATTTGAGTGTCTTAGAGACCGTTTCAGCCTTGTGTCCTCTCACTTTGCAGGCTGGTGTCAAGACTGCTAATGACCTCCAGGTCCCAAGTCTCTTGTTGCTTGGTGACAAAGTTTCACAGTTGAGAAGGAGAAGCTGGGACTAGCAGGGTAAGTTTTGCTCGGGTGTCGGCCCTGCACTTAGCAATTTACTTTAACTGTGCCAAAAAACTGCTTGGATCTCTACTTTTTCTCTTTCTCCCCTTGTTTGAGTAAGCAGCTTTGGAAATGCCTGTTCTCCGAGTATGCTTTATTTACAAAGCCCAGACACCACCTAATGCATTATTTAGGAGAGGAGGAAGCTGGCCTGAGCCCCAGCCAGGAAGGGCAGCTAGTTGGGGCACAGTGGGCGTCCTCGGAGGCCAGGGCACAGGTGAGCCTGGGGAGGCAGGTGTGCGAGTCATTGGCGCTTTGGGGATCACATGGGATCCTGTCTCCAATGTCTGGGTCTCCGTGGTGTTTTTGCTGCTCTACAGGCAGGTGGAGACGTGTTTGAACTGTTTGCTTTCACCCGACCAGTCACCCCTCTAAGGAAACTAAACTGTGACTGCTTGTTCGTTCAGGAGGGTCCAGCCCAGCAGAACAAATCTGATTATTGTTTACTGTAATGGGGTTTGGAGAGCAATCCGTGTTGTAAGAAGTCTAGTGGTAAACTTTTTCTACAAGTTATCCTGAACACTAGAACCCACTAATAAGTGGTTAAGCCCTAGGCTGAGCTGGGCCTTGCAAAGGGGGATTCTTCATGGGACACACGGGAACACACTCCTCAAGTCCCAACTTTTATGACAGGTATAGTGGGAAAAGACAGACCCTCTACTTAGAGTCTTTGTGACTCCACACAAGTTTCTCAGCCTCTCTGAGCCTCAATTGCTGTATCCCTCCAGTGGAGATGAAAATCGACATGCCAGGCAGTTGTGACTCAATTGTAATGTCTATAAAATGCCTGGTCTGTAGTGGGTGGTCCACAGAATCCATACAAAGGGAGGAACCTCATTTTAATGTGCTAAAAATTAGGTAGTGTCTTTGCTTTGCAAAGGGTCCAGCACATAATAAATTCTCCATGCATTTATCAACAACATGGATGCTATGTGAACCAAGTATGAAATAACACTCCTGGCCAATGAAATGGGGACTCAGAAAGGTTAAGAAACTTGTGCAAAGTCACACGTCTAGGAGGACAGGGCAGTGACAGGCCTGTAAGCTGGAGTGATCACATGCCTTCTGGGTTTGAGCCTCAGCCTCCAGTGGAGATGGGAGGCACTGAGACAGCTTCTGTCCACCCTGCAGGGCCCCAAGCCCTGTGGTTGTCTGCAGATTGGTTTGTTAGTGCCTGGTGCTTGGTGCCTCCAGCTTCCGCTTGGGCCTCCAGTGGTCTCTCACTGTTGCCCAGCATCAAGGGTGACTTCAGGCCCTTTCTCCCTTCCTATCAGTGGAGAGATGAGAGAGTGAAAGCTAGGTGATGTTTCCAGGCCCCTGAAACCCTAGAACACAAGGTGTGCAACTGAACCACGCCCATGTGTACTCTGCTGTCAGCCCCATTGCCAACTCTCAGCCCATTGCCAATGTAATTCACTGCCAATTTTTCAGTTTCTGAGCTCCCTACTGGTCTCATATAATGGAACTCATCTCAGCCCCTAGAACTGGGTCTAATAACACATGCATGCTTCTTTTTCGGGGAGGGATGAGCCATAAGGATGGGGCTTGACCTGACTAGGAAGAAAGTTTCCCACAGGATCTAGCTCAGCTCCTGCCAGCATCTGCAGAACATGATGAGTCAGGAGCTTCCTGGGCGGCCAAGAGAGCCATTGGTGGCCAAGAGAGCCATCCGACATTGTAAAGCCAAGCTTGCATGGAAAAGCCAGATGGCGGCTAAGTCCATGGGAAAGGGCACCAAAGAGATTCTGGCTCCAGTCGAGGCATGTGCCTTTGACTAGGCCCTGGGTGTTTCATCTGTGAAGTGGAGTGACCAGATTAAATGAGATGACACACATGAGGTACTTAGACTTTGTGCTGAGCAAAAGGAAGAAAAAGATACAGGAAGTGCTAGGCCCCTCTAGCAGTTCCAGCCTGCTCTTGAGTTTTCTCTTTGCCTGGTCCACATATACAATCTAGAAGAATGTTCCATCTACTCTGCTTCCACCACAGAGCCTGGATCCATATGGTTCCTCCTCCGCCATGCCCCTCAGCACAGACTCCCATCCTCTCTTGCCTGCAGCTGGCCTGTCTCCATCACTCTCCTTCCCTGCCTCTGCTGCTTCCCTACAGCCAACGTCATCCTTCTAGAGGGCCTTATGTTGTCCCCTACCCATGAGCGCATGGCCCACCTTGCGCTGCCCCTGCCCAGCTCTTCGCCCTCCCCTCCTTGACCTCCAGCTTACACCCTCTTCCTGTCAATTCTTTCCAAAATCCTTCAGTGTGGCTTCTACTTAGTATTCTAGTTACAGCTCAGATGTCACCTTCTCAGAAAGGACCTCCTCACCCACCTCAGTCTGAGTTAGCAACATCCCCACCAATATGCCCTGTCTGACTTCAGCATTCTCTGTCACATCATCAGCTATTATTATTTGCAGAGCATTTACACCAACTGCAATGCTCCTTGTTTTTTTTTCTCTCTCCCTCTTTTTTTTCTCTGTCTCCCTCTTTTTCTTTGTTTTGCTTTATTTGCTGTCTCTTGAAATGGTAGCTTCATGACAAACACAAAGGTATAGCCTTGCTCACTGCATATCCACTGACCTGACCCATAGTACAACTCCAGTAGGAATTGCTGGACAGACAAATGAATGGGGAGACTGGACTCTAGCCAGCTCTAGAGATTAAAAGTGAGTATAGGGATAATTATATCTGTAAGTAGCTATTATTATATTTCTTTTTCTGTAATCACTAGTAATGTTATTATTAATAATTTGTCAGTGCTTGAAAGGTTGCAAAGATTTCATATTTGGGAATCAGCAAAGATTGTTCTCCAACTCCTCCATCTGAGATTCCTGACCAGTGGGGAGCGGCCCAGAGCAGCTGGTTTGAGGGAGGTGATGGAGACGGTGCAGTCTGGTGACTCCACCAGCATTCCCCACTAGCATCCACCTCTGGTGGTAGAAGCCAGATGACTGTTTATTGAGTGCTCACTGAACACTGGTCACCTAACATTTTTATCACCTCATTCGCTCTTCAAACAACGAGCAATTAACCAATCCATTTTGCAGAGCAATAAACTGGGCTTAGGCATGTTACGGGACTAAACCTGGGTTGGCAATGAAGGGGAGCGGGGCTCACTTCTATTTGCCTCACAGCTCCTATGCTCCCTGCAGCCTACCCACCTGCCTTTTCAAGCACAGCAGGAAAAAAAGGGATAGCTGGCATGACTAATGTGTGGGTGGCCATCCTATCTGGAAGCTGCCAGGGTGCTGCCCTGTCCTGACCACATCATTCTCAGCTCTCCTGGCAATAGTTATGTCTGTTTGCACAAAGTCCTAAGGAAAGCTATCTCTCTTATTGGGGGCAATGTCAAGTGCTTCAGTCATGATTTCAAATAAACCTGATAAAGATTCAAGGAGGAAAAGGAAATCTGAATTTAGGAAAAGTTTCTGCAGAAGAAATTTAAGATTAGACGTTGCAGCATTTTCTGAAAGACAAGGGTCTTCCATGCAAGCAGTGAGCCCAAACTACCCTTTTTCTCCACTAATCTGAAGCATTCTTTCAAAAAGTAGGCCAGTCTTCCCACAGTTCTTCACCTCTGGTTGGAGGTTGCAGGGAGAAAGTACAGCTTCTGCTTGACGTTTCCTCCCTACATTGCACCATAATGCGGGCCACCCACTCATAAGAGGCCACGTGTTGTTTATAGCACAGCCCTCCGTGGCTGGCTGAGGGTGGGCTGTCCCTGATAGAGTATCTCTGGAGGGAAACAGGAACAGCTGCCCTGGGCTGCCTGCTCCTCCCCCACTCTCAGTGGCCACCTCTTGCATTCCACTCTGTGACAGCATAAAGTGCCCACAGATGACCTAGGACAGCACTGGCTGCCTCAGACAACCAGACTGTCAACCTGCTGCCCAATTCCTGTGTCTGCAGAGGTAGGGACACCTCTCAGGTATCCTTTATCTGCAACTGCCCCAGGCAAATCCAGCTCCAGTGAATAACCCCCACCACCACGCTGTCCTCTCCTGAATTCAGGTAATAGGAAAGGAAACAGAATCGTGTGTGTGTGTGTGTGTGTGTGTGTGTGTGTGTGTGTGTGTTTGGAGTGTGAGTGTGCATGCATGTGTGTGAATGTGTGTTTGTAACTTTCTTTTCTGGTTAGAAACAGATTTTATATCTGTTGCAGAGCATTTAAAAACTATGTAGACGTATAAGAAGAAAAGTAAAAAGAGCCCAAGACCATCACCTCCAGAGAGCAGTGTTGCTGATATTCTTGGCGCTCTTTCTCTCCTCTTTTCTGGGTGTGGGGGTGCATGTGCGCCGGAGAACACAGGGCTCACACGGACAGATGTTTTTTCACTAACATGACATCTTCAGCATTTTGCCTTTTGACACTTTTGGAAAATAATGTTTTGTTTTGTTTTAGTTTCTGTTTATTATTTATTTCATTCTATGATTACACGGTAATTATTTCATCACTTGTCTATTGTTAGATATTTGGGTTGTTTCTAATTTTTTTTACTATTTTAAATGGCACCATCATAAGCATGTTTCTATCAAAAGTCTTATTCTTATTTCCTGAAGGGAGATTCTTAGAAGTGTCCTCTATGTGTTCTCCATAGCCTGGTCCCACCTCTTCTCAGAGTACCAGCCGTTTCCTTGCTTCATCTCGTCTCTTTGCCTTGGCTCCCATCCTTCTCCCCTTGGCCTAACACAGTTAAGGTGGCTTCAAGTGCGATGCTACTGACCACTCTCCAGCCCCCTAGTGCACTTGTTCTCATGGTCAAACAATCCATCATGCCATCATCTGCGTCTATTTGGAAAGCATCCCTGTCTCCAAGAGGGTACACACTCAGTGACCAACGAATATTTTGTGTGCAAATGACAACCTGAGTTTTCCCGAGGGACCTCTCCCTTAAAACGTATTCATGTACTGGAACTCCTTTAACAGTACATGTAAAAACAGTGAGTCAAGTTGATTA